CTGACTGGATCACCTGCTCGGCCTGCCACGTGGTGGCGGCTCCGTACTGCTGGTAAAAGTCTGTGTCGGCCTGGAACATCACCAGGGCCTGTGCCGTGTGGATCCGCACATGTTGGGCCAGGCTGTTGGCATCCAGGAACTTCTCCCCACACGAGTCACAGGCGTAGAGGATCTGGGTGTTGGGGTCTGTAACGAAGCGGGAAGATGACTCACCTACTGGCCATGCAGACGCACGGCCAGGCCCCTGCCCCTGCCCCAGTGCGAGTCGGCCTGGAACATCACCAGGGCCTGTGCCGTGTGGATCCGCACATGTTGGGCCAGGCTGTTGGCATCCAGGAACTTCTCCCCACACGAGTCACAGGCGTAGAGGATCTGGGTGTTGGGGTCTGTAACGAAGCGGGAAGATGACTCACCTACTGGCCATGCAGACGCACGGCCAGGCCCCTGCCCCTGCCCCAGTGCGACAGGAGGGACGCATGGCTGAGTTCTCCCAGATGCAGCCCTGGGAAATCTCGGGGGAACCACCCTGAACAGTCTCCAGGTGCAATAGGGCCAGACCAAGTGGAGGTGGGAGCTGATCCAGGAACTGTGATCCCCTCTGCTTACGAGCCCATCCCACTGGTGCCACCCTATCCGGCCCTGCCCATTTCCCCGCCACACACCCTGACCCCTCCTCTCTCCCCCACTACAGCCCCAAGACTGGAGAACCCCCCCCCCCAGATTGCAGTGGGCCCTGCCCTAGGGCTCCTCCAGTCCCAAGGCTGTCTGGGTGCTGGGGTTTCCCTGCCCATCTGCCCAGGCTTTGCGATTTCTGCTGCCCCCCCCGGCTGACCCCAAGGGATGGGCTGAGGTCCAGCCACCTGGAGGATGGCAGGGTGGTTGCAGGGGGATCAGGCACCTTGGTGCCCTGCCTCAATGAGACCTGCTGCCTGGAACTTCACTGGGAGGGAAATGGGCGCCCAAGTAGCCAGAGCTTACAGGCTACCAGCTGGAGAGCACAGCCAGGGGCTGCATGGAGGGGGGAGGAGCCCGCGGGAAGGGCTGGGCTGGGAGAAAGGAAGCTGAGTGTCAGGTCCCAGCTCTGCTGCCCCACGTGTGTACAGAGTCCAGTCGCCCCTCCCTTTCAGCTCCTCACCTGCTTCCTGCACTTGCTTCACAGCCTTGGTGATCTCCGCCTTCAGAGCTTCCGTCTCGTCTGCCGTCACGGCGGCTGCCACGGGCACCACTGCCGTTTGGAGAGGGGAGAAGGAGAACCCTGGGGCTCGAGAGGGCTGTCCCTGGGTCAGCCAACCCCCCTCTGGCTAACAGCCCACGCAGGGCCCTGCCAGGCGTAGGGAGAGGGGCTGGGGGACCCGGAGCAGGAGCCTCAGGCCAGGGAAGCGGGTACCCCCAGGGGGCCGTGCTGTTGCGTGTGGTGCCAGGGGAAGGGCGCAGCAGCCCGAGGCGGGTCTGACTCTGGGGCAGTTACTGCTAATGTGGGTGGGGGTGGGAGAGTGAATTTCCTACAAGGCAGCTGAGCCATGTGCCGGCAGGAATGACTCAGCTCCTCCCCACCGGGCAACAGCCTCGAGCCAAGGACCAAAAAGGTAAAGGGGCCTGGGAGCCCAGCCATGTTTCATGGTGTGGGCAGCAACCCCTCCTGGCCTGGCCCCAGTGCGCACTGCTAGCAGCACAGGAAGACTCACCTGTCAACTGTGTGACTGCCGTGGCCGCCAGTGCCTCCGTGGCCAAGGTGACCATATCGTCCGAGGCAACAGTGACTATGTTGACCTCGTCGCCCTCCTCCGGCTCCAGGATCTTGATGCCGGCCTTGCCCTGGTGCACGGTTTTCACGTGGGAGCGCAGGTTGTCCACACGGTTAAAGCCCCGGCCGCACTTGTCGCAGAGGAACGGCTTTTCTCCTGCACAGAACCAAGCCACCGGCTGGGTTAGCTCCCCGGGGAGGGGCAGGGCTAGACACACTCAGCAGGTTGTGTGAAGACCCCAAGGCAGGGCTGCCGGGATTGCCCTCCCAGTGAGCGTGCCCACCTCTGCCCACCCTTGGGTGTAGCTGCTAACCAGTCCAGTGCCAGGCCCAGCAGTGCCCGGGGGTGAAGAACCCAGGCGGCCAGGCAGACGCACCCGTGTGGATGATGATGTGCTTGGAGAGGTCGCCCACGTTCACAAAGGCCTTGCTGCAGACATTGCACTTGTGCGGTCGGATGTTGTCATGGTGACGGATGTGGTTGGCCAGCTGACTGGACTGGACGAACCTAGAGGAAGGCATCAAAGGGAGTGGAGGGAGCTGGGAGCGGTCCCAGGGCCCAGAACAGGGAGCACAGGCCTGGCTCTGAGCCCCCCATCTGGTCACAGAGCTGACGTGGCTGGGAGCATGGGGTGGACCAGCCCCTCAGGCTGCCACGAGCCCCTGCGAAAGCTCATCTGTTCTGCTTAGCGAACGGCCCGAGCCCAGCCCCGGCCTGCGGGATGAGAGTTGTTCTGACAATGCCCAGGCCCAGAAATACCCCTTCCCTGCTCTGCTCTTTGCCCAGCGCCGCGTGCGCCAGCACAGGCAGAGACGGGCCCCGGCCTGCCTGCTGGATGAAACAGCCAGACTGGACCCTTAACTAGCACTCCCAGCCACGTGCAGCCCACCCCCGTCTCAGGGCCATGGTGGTACCTGCAGGCTGAGAGGGGCCCACCCCCAGAGCTCTGTGCACGTCCCCTTTGGCACAGGCTGCCAGCGCCCGTCTTCCTCACCTGGGCACTGGGGCAAGACAGTGACCCAAGTGCTTCTCCGGTGATTCCCCAGGACCTGTTTCCCAAGCCCGAGTAATAGTCCCGCTGCCTCTGCCAGGCCGGATCCAGCATCCTCTGCAGAGTGTAGGACTGCGCGGGCCAGGGCCCGGGGAGGGGGAGGAAGCCCAGGCGGGCAGTACGGTGGCGGCAGGGCTCCCCAAAGGGCTGCAGGAATTGAGCCCCATTCCTGCATTTGCTGCCTGGGAAGGGGGCGGGGCCTCACCTCTTGCCGCAGCGCTCACACACGTAGGGCTTCTCTCCGGTGTGCTGGCGCACGTGGGCAATGAGGGAGCTGGCCTGTGTGAAGGCCTTGCCACAGATCAGGCACTGGCAGGGCTTCTCGCCTGCAGCCAGACACCAGCCCCGACCCCACACCTAGAGCAGGGAGCGATACCCCATGCAGCCATCCCTACGCATGGCCCAGGAGCTCTGCTGCTTCAGGCCTTCCCAAAGCTGGTGGAAAGAGACGGCTTCCTGAGCCCCAGGGGCCTGCTGTGAACAGCTCTGGCTTGGGTGGCCCTCGGCGATCCCCACAGATGCCTTGGAGGCTCAAGGAGACACGTAAGCTGCTCTGAGGAACCCGCTCCCACGTGGACGTGGCACCGCATACAAATGACCAGACCAAGAATCTATCTGGCCCAGTGGCCAGCAGCCCAGGGGAATCAACGGAACAGGGAATCCCCAGGGGATCCAGCCCATCGCCCAGTCTGGCAAACAGCGGCTAGGAGCACCCCTGCCCATGCCGGACAATAGCCACTGAGGGCCCTGTCCTCCAGGAACTTATCTAGCTCTTTTATGAGGCCTGTTAGAGTCTTGGCCTTCACAGCATCCTCTGGCAAAGGTGCCAGGGGCTCACTCTGTGTTGAAGGAGAAGTTCCTGATGTTTGTTTTAAACCAGATGTCCATTGATTTCATTGGGTGACACCTGATTCTTGTGCTATGGGAAGGAGTAAATTATATTTCTTTATTCGCTTTCTCCACACCCGTCACGATTTTATAGCCCTCGATTATATCCCGCCCCTTAGTCGTCTCCTGTCCAACTTCCAGTCTTTTCAGTCTCTCCTCAGACGGAAGCTGTTCCAGACCCCTAATCATTTTTGTTGCCTTTCTCTGTGCCTTTTCCGATTCCAATATCTCTTTTGTTGAGATGGGACGACCGGAACTGCATGTGGCACTCAAGCTGTGGGCGTATCATTGATTTATATAGTGGCATTAGGATATTTTCTGTCTAATTCTCTACCACTTTCCGAATGATTTCCAACCTTCTATTTGCTTTTGTGAGTGCCACAGCTCAGTGTTTTCAGAGACCTCTCCACAGTGACGCCGAGTGGTAGCAGCTTTGTCTGGCTAGTTGGGATTCTGGTTTCCGACGTGCATTACTTTGCACTCACGGACACAGAATTTCACCTACAATTTTGTTGTCCTGTCACCCAGTTTAGCGAGCTCCCTCTGTAGCTCTTCGGTCTGCTTTGCACTCGAGTCACAAGCGCTAGAGGCAGGGGCCCAGCGTGTGGCAGGAAGAGTGTAAAGAGGAGACCTGCGCTCAGGCCTGGTCTGTCCCGCCAGCTCATTGCTGCTGCCCACTGAGCACGTGTGCGCCTGGTGAGTTGCAGCCTGTCTGAGCGGGTCAGTGCTGCGCTCCCCCAAGCAGAACAGGAGTGGCAGAAATCCCTGGACACTGCCATGGTGGGCAGCAGACTGGCTCTCTGCTGGGCCAGGGCATGGACACACCAGTGCTCTGGGGCTGGGGGCAGGTGGCACAGGCCCATGGGAGAAGCATGCTGAGCTGGTCCCACAGTACTGCACAGATGCGTGAAACCAAAGGCTCCTTGCAGTGACCGATGGCAGACTGGACGCGGCCCAGCCCTGCCGACTCATCAGCCGGAGCAAGAGGTTCTGGGGCCTGGTCTCTCCCAGGCCGGGGATCCCTACCTGTGTGAATGCGGATGTGCCGCTGCAGGGCCCCAGGGTCGGCGAACTGCCTCTGGCAATGCACACACACGTAGGGCTTCTCGCCACTGTGGATCCGCAGATGCCTCTTCAAGTTCCCTTGGAGGAGTCAGACAAGAGGGAGTCAGTAGCCCAGAGGGCTCTTTCTCTCTCTCTGTGTCTCTCTGTCTGTGTGCGTGCGCCCTCCCCAGTCTGTCTCCCCACCTCCCTCCCAGCTGTGTGTGTGTGTGTGTGTGTGTGTGTGTGAGTGAGAGAGATCCGTCCCCGTCTGTCTCCTCCCCCCACCCCCGGCTCACTCAGGGTGTGTGCGTGTGCATGCGCACCCTCCCCCATCTGTCTCCCCACCTCCCTCCCAGCTGGATCGCTCCGCATGTTGTGTGTGTGTGTCCGTGTGTGTGTGAGATCCGTCCCCGTCTGTCTCCCCTCCCTCCGGGCTGGCTCGCTCAGCTTGTGCTGAGCCATCAGAAATCATCTTGCTCCATCCCCACGGCCCTGTCAACAGCCAGCTCCCACCAGAGGGCTGCCCCTTCCATGGCCCCACACCACCCTAGCTTCCCACTGACGCTGAGACCAAAGGGACAGGTTTGTTCAGTGCCTGGGAGCTAACGGTGGGAGTCCCTGGCATTTCTAGTAGGGATGTTAAATATCAGTTAATTGAATAGTCGATTAACCTCATGAATTCTTATCGGTTACTTGACTATTCTATAGTCCCCAGGGGCAGGGCTGGTAGCCAGTGCACTCCGGCCCCTCTTCCGAGGAACCCCCTGCCACTCTGTGCAGGGTGCGAGGCAAGAGCTGGTCCGTGAGGGGAGCCAGTTTAAAAACCAGCTTCCCTTGGGGACCAGCTGTCTGTTGCCCTGTGCTGCTGCAGCTTCCCATACAGAGGCAGCAGTGCAGGATGACAGCAGCCCTTTTTTGGGGGTGGGGTGGGGGGAATGCATGTAGTCTATAGCATTAACTTATAAGCTTTTGCTTATCGGATAACTGGTTGACTACACGGGTGGGAGAGGGGACTGAACTCCCAGACCTGACGCAAGCTGGAACTGAGCTGGGCTGCCTGCCTGCCCACCTGCCTCCTAATACACTTTAAATACAGAGCTGCAGCAGGGCAGGTCCTGGACCTGGCGTGAGCCAGGACTTAGCCAGCCTGCTAAAAACCGTACTGGCATGAAATGCATGTAGTCCAGAGCATGAACCTATAAGTTCTGCGCATCGCTTAGTCAACTGCACTATTGCAGCCCTAATTTCTGCCGGCTGCACATAAGCTAGTGCACATAGCAGCACAGGCAGAGTTAGGTACGCCACAGGACAGGCTCTGCGCTGGCAGCCAGCGAGCCACGCGACAGCAATGGCTTGGACCAAGAAGTGACTCGCACGGCCTGCCCCAGCGGCGGCTTTAGAGACGCCAGTGTGCGGAGGAGTTTAGATTTAACGCCCCCACGGGGCTAACTGCCAGCGCTCCTGAAAGTGGCACAGGCCTCGTCCATTTTGGTTTCTTCGGAAAGCTCCTGCTCCTGGACTCAGCACAAACATTTCAGCTTCCATTTTGAAAACCTGGACATTTCTAGCCTTTCTGGCTATGGACTAAAGCCTGTGGCTGCGCCCCCGAAGGCCCAGGCTCCGGAGGGCACGCAAGAACCACCTCTATTTCAGCACTGCCTGACGCATGGAGACTCAGCTCATTCTCTTCTGGGGCCTGAGGTGAACGCCAGCGAATAGGAACCAGCTTGCCACCCAGCACCGTCTCAGGGAGCTAGGTCTGCAGTTCCAGCAGGGCCAGCGTCCCTTCTGCTACCCTGAGTGGCTTGGCGCTAGAGGGGGCCCATAGGAGATCTTCATCTGAGGATACAGAGTTTCTGGCAACTCACTGAGGAGTAGCTGTAAACCTCCATGCTCCTTCCCAACCCAGCCTAACCCTGCAGAGCTGTGGCCTTTGCTCTCGGTGGTGCTGCGTGCAAATGCCCTGCGGAGCCAAGCACAGGCACACGTAGCCGGCGTGGTACCTGACGTGGTGAACTGCTTGCCACATTCCCGGCACTTCAGTGGCCCGTCCGCGATGTGAATCTTCAAGTGCGCCTTCAAGTTCCCCACCTGCAGGGAGACCAAAGAGCCCATAGAGCTTGGCTGCCCCTTGGGGAGCAGAGGGTTTACTGTGGGCAGCACTTCGGTGCCAATGGCTGAGAGCAGCACAGCCACATGGGCCATTAACCAAAGTGCAAACCACGTCAGGGGCCCCTGCACTACGAGACCCAGCCATGCAAGGTCGTCTTCTTGGCCATCGCCCTCCTGCAGCAGCAGCACACACAGCTGTGTCCTAGGCTTGTGCTGTGTACAAGTGGTAAGCTGGGCTTTGTGCTGTCCACAAATGTGGCTGTAGGTTCAGGCGCTGGACAGGCGTAGGCTGCACGACTTCAGGAGTCAGCTGCCAGGGCTGCAGCCTCTCGGCCAGGCACTGACAGCTTCGGAAGCGGGATGGAGAAAGGCAGAGGAGGCATTGTCTGGAAACGCTCCTCCTGCTACCAAGGCCTGACTGAGCACCCCAGGACACACAGAGTGCCTAGCCAGGAGCTGAATGTTCACCTCCTCCATTCCACAGTAAATCCCGCCCTCAGGACACAGAGCCGGCTCAGTAATGGGCAAGGCATCGGAAGCGGGGACTGCTCCATGACTTGGCAGGAGACTGGATCTGAGAGGAACCTTTGAGGTTCTGGTTGAGCTCAGACCTGAACTAGGGATGTTACAATGGGTGTACATAACCAACCAGATAACCCCCTAGTGGGGTCCAGCACGCTAGCCACATGTGGCTACTTGGCCAGCTGAGTGTGGCTAGTTGGCATAATTAATGTTGCTCTTTGGCTGGTGGAGTGTGGCTAGTTGGCTCTAGCTACAGAACTGGTTGGACAGCGCGGTGCTAAACATTTCAGCAATTACACACGGGGCGGCAGGAGGCTCCCTGGGAGCCAGTGCACAAGGGGAATTGGCTTTTAAGCCAGCTCCCTGCGTGCACCAGCTCCCACCTGCCCCCGACGTGTGGGGCAGTGGGTGGCTCGCAGGGAGCCAGCTTTTCTCTGGCTCCCCGTGCATACACCAGGTGCTTGATGTGAACGGGAGCGTTAACGGATGAGGCTGTGAATGGTTACACCTTCACATCCCTTTTCAGAAGCCAACAAGACACGGCACTAGCCGAAGTTGGCACCATAGAAAAGGTCCAATTACTAAAATACCCAGGCAGGGTCTAGCTTTGTCCGTGCAAACTGTTACCGCGACCTCTAGGGGCAGGTCAGCGAAACCCAAGAAACTCAACCCTCCCCCGGCCCGTTCTCCTGCGGCAGGAGTCACCCACCCATCGGTCGCGACTGAGCGGTCAGTCCTGGAGCCTCAGCCAGTCGATTGGGATCTCTGGGCCAGCACAGCAGGGCTCAGACAGACTGCTGGCTCCTTTCCGTGGTCCCCTTGTGTCTCTGCAAGCTGCCTACGCTGTAGCTCCCACGGGTAGAGCTCCTGGCACCCCATGCAAAGCCTGCACCAGCCCACTGAAAATAAGTGAGGGTGGGGGAGAGCAAGTGGAGAAGGGGGGGAAGGGAGTGGGCAGGGATTTGGGGAAGGGGCAGGGCAGGTCCTAGGTTGCCCTGAACTTTAAAAAGCCATCTTGGGTGTAAAACAGATGGAGACCACTGTCTTACTGGCAGGCTGGGACTGCACTTCTGTCAGCCTCCCTGGGTCTCAGCTCCCTCCCTCCCCAGGGGGCACAGTGGCCCTGCCACACCACAGACAAACACACGTTAATGGAGGCCAAGTTGTCTCCATTTCGAATGTGGCCTGCCAGTCACAGAACTGGAACCTCCCTTCCCAGAGCCAAGGGTTCATCCTGCCTCAACCCTTGTGGCAGGAGGGGGAAGGCAGGGCTTTGGCTAAGCTAGAGGGGGCTTTGCCGAGCAAAACCTCCCTCCTGCATTACACCCAGCACGGGGCAGCACAGGGAGCTTGGGTAGAATGGTCTGGGCAAGAAACACCCCGAGGAAGAGGCGGCAGCGGCCTCGTTGGGATTTCTTGCTTGCTGCTATTCCCATGTGCTGCCCCGTTTATGAAACCCTGCAGGGCAGGAACCAACTGTATTTAGCCAGCCCAAGGGGCCCCTGATCTCAGCCACGCCCTCTGGCCCTGCCACAAAACAAACACCAGCATGAGATCGGCTCCCACAGCCCCTGGCCAGCTCCGGGGTCCGCCCAGCTGCTCGCTTAGGCCCAGCCTGTTATCTGCTCTGCACAGGGCCCCCAAAGCACTGACCTCCAGGGCAGCAGGATCTGGCACTAATCCTCCGTGGCCCACAGTGGCAGGGTAAGGTGGTTTGGAGTCAGGTCCTGGGGAAGGGGGTGGGGGTGTGCCGTAGCCCAGGCCCCCCAGATGCTGCCAAGACAAAGCCTCTGCCCAAAGCTGCAATGGAACGTTCCTTCTTCCAGCCACGACTAACGCAGGGACACCTCCAGCAAGGGCTCCAGCCGTGGACCTTTCCTCCCAGACACCTGGCTCTAGAGCTCCAAAGCACTGGGGGCCTGGGCTACGGCACAGGAGCTGGAGTCAGGAAACTGAGTTCTCTTTGTGGCAGGGGAATCAATCACGTCCCCGCTCTGTGCCTCAGTTTCTCCATCTGTAAAAGGGGGACGATCAAACTCTAACAGAGCTAGTATGTCGGAACTCAGACACAGTGGCGGCAGGATGGCCAGAACAGAAGAGAGTTCAGATGGGCGGGGCCTAATCTTGGGGTAATAGCAGCTGGCTGCTCCCTAGTTCTGCTCAGAGGACATGCAGGAGACAAGGTGCGTTGTCCATGCCCCTTGGCTTTTCACTGGGGAGAACGGGCTCTTGGGAACTAGGAGACACCTGATGCAACATGTCTCGGGCGTAACTCACAATTTGACAAGGAAAAGGACCCAAACTGTGACCTGTGTGCAGCCCTAGAGCCACCTGCCGTTCAGGCAGCCCCAGAAATTCTGCCTCCAGCCACTTCTCAGTTCACTAGAGGCCTGATCCAAAGCCTATGGAAGAGTCATGGATCAGACCCAGTACGAAACGGGGCGATACGGCCTGGAGCTCTGACTCCCTCCAGCGGCGCTGGGTTCGTGGCTGGTGAGTGCAGCCAACAAGCAGCGTCTCCGGCAGGCCAAAGGACGAGCAGGTCTGCGGTGGTTACCGGGAGCAGCGACAAGCTGTCAGAGGAACCCTCAGCGTCCAGCAGCCTGGGCGTCCCAGCGCCCACCCACTCACCTGGTTGAATTTCTTGTCGCAGTGAGGACACTTGTGCTCCTTGTCCGTGTCGTGGGTCTCCAGGTGGCGCATCTTGGAGGTGGGGTCCGAGAAGGAGCGCCCGCAGTAGTCACACTGGTAGGGCTTCTCGCCGCTGTGCACCAGTTGGTGTCGCTTGAGGTTGCCCGAGGTCGTGAAGAGTTTGCCGCAGTCGTCACACCGGTACTTGGCACTCTTCACAGCCATAGGGCTTCAGGGGGCTGGAAGAAGGGTTCAGAAGGGATGAGGGACTCCGCACAGCAGCCAGGTGGGACAGACACTTCTGATCCTTTGCCTTTTGGCAGCTCTGAGATCCACCTCAGACAAGCTGGGCACATCCCGAAGTACCAAGAGACTGAGCGCCGGACCCCAGTGTGCAGCAACAGGGGAACGCTACGTAGCCCAGCTGCAGAGATGGGTGATTCCCTGGGTCAAAGAGGCTTCTCTGCTTAAGAAGCACAAGATGCCCCTGGGGGAGCAGACCAGGGATAACAGCAGAGAGAGAGACTCACGCAGCTCAGCAGCCTAGAGCTCACCCCTCACTCTACCTACCGAGTTCCCACAACTCCCCACCCGCAGCTGCTGGCCCTGCCCAGGCGTCCCCACGCAAGGGATAATTTACCCAGCTCGATAAAAATCAAAGCGAGGCTGTGTCAGCACTGTATGTGGGGCATAAGGGGGCTCATGCAGCCCACACCACAGCGTCCTCACTTCCATTTCCAGCAAGCTAGCTCAGGCACGTCTACATGGCTGCAGGGCAAACTGGCTCTGTCCGCTGCCGCAGTGAAGAGCAGGCGCGCTGGCATGTTGGTTTTGGCTGGCAGCCAGCCATACCTGTGCGTCTTCTCGTGGGCTTTGCAGGCTGCTGGGTCAGAAAAGGCTTTGTTGCACTCCCTACAGGAAAAAGGCTTTTCTCCAGTGTGGATCCGGATGTGCCGCTTGAAGTTACCAGTGTGTGTGAATTCCTTTCCGCAGTCCTACAGACAAAAGACACACAGGATAGAAAGCAAGCCCCCTGGGTTCCAGGGAGCCGAGGCCTGGGACGAAGCTGCTCTCGGCTTACCTCACACTTGTGAGTCACCGAGCCATAGGCTTTTGACTCTGTCCTGTCGCTGTAGGTGCCTGATCGCAGCAGCCTTGCTTCCCCAGAGTTCTCCTGCCCAGAGTCTGTGCCTCCTGATTCATTGTCCTCAGGGTTGTCTCCATTTTCCAACCGGGAATGCTCTTCTTTTAGATCTTTGGCTTCCTCCTCCTCCTCCTCCTCTGCTGTTGTTTCCTCCTCTTCCTCCTTCCCTTCCAGCTCCACCTCCATTTCTGCAGGTTTAGGAGACACAGAAATGCTAAAAAGCAGAAATAAAAGGTCGGAGACAAAAGTCCTACTGTGGCATTGCATGTGGTTACTAAAATGAGCTGCATACTTGGAGGACAAAGACCCTAGTGTGGAAAAGGGGAAATTTTGTTTTTGGCAGAAGCAAAAAATCGAAATCTGGATTTTTTTCAATTGAAAACCAAAATGTTTTGGATCTCAAAGGAAGCCTCATGTTTCCAGCCTCCTGTAGGACCTGGCCCCCCTGTGCAGGAGCACCCCAGCCCCTGAGCTGTTGGAAGGGAGAAGAGTGCACTGCAGCAGCCAGGGAAATGGAGTCTGGCCAAGGGAGTCCAACTCAGAGAGGAGCCTGGGAGCATGAGACACCTAACTACAGTTCCCAAAAGGATCCTTGGTTTTATTTCAGAATTGAAACATTTTGGTTTTCAGCTGTTCATGTGGATGAAAAAAAAATCAATGTTTTCCATGGAAAGCAGACACTTTTGTGCAAACTTTTGTTTCGCTAACTAACCTGTTTTTTGCTAAAAAGTTTTGATGGAAAATGTTCAACCAACCCTGCTACATATAGTTCTGAAATATGGGTCCCAGGCTTAAGGACCCAGTCATGGGATGTGGCCTTTCATGTCAGGGTCACTGATTCAAAGAGAGTCTGGAGTGACTGAAAGATTTTACCCTGAGAAGGGGTTTGAAGATCTCAGTTCAGTTCTCATTGCTTACACAGCATTTAACCCACTCCCGACTGGCTGGCTGGCAGCCCCAGCAAAGTTTCCAGTGACTGAATGGAAACCAAGCTTTGGCACCAGGTCGGAGCAGGGCCAGGCTGGCAGGACAGCACAGGGGAGCTGTGCCCTGTCGTTCTGCACATAGAAGGCTCCTGTTGCCAGCCCTGCCCTTTATTCAGCACCTACTCCCAGAGTCTACAGCCAAATAAACGGGCCCCTAACAGCCACTTCTTACTGAAATTGCTACATGTGCTGCAGGACATGTTTGGCATAAGAGTCTGTGCTCCCCAACTTGGGCCTGCGGCGGTTGGAGATCTCCAGGGCCAGGGATCTCCAGCGGGGCCAGTAACGGCAGGTGATAC